TGGGCAAGACCACGGCACATGGGAACAAAGCATTTTCAGTAACCACCAGAGGCTCGCACCGATGACAGTGACCAGAGCCTTGGTCTGGTGCCCCCGCTCACCTGCTCCACCATCCCACCACGGCTGGTGCCCGCCATGTTCTGCACACACCCCCTGGTGGCGAGTGTACGTCATAGTGACCCGTTGTTCAGTAGTTCTGGGTGCTCTGTCATTTGGTCTATTTGTATATTAGCCTTTTATTATATAGGATTTGTTAAGCCTCATCAATCTCTACATTTTAAAAGAAAAAATTTCACTGTATGTAAATTGTACCTTAATAAACCACACTTTAAAAATCATGTTATAAAATATTTCAGAATTGGAGAGGGATAGCACTCCTTAGGAGGTTTTTAAGTTCCACATGGTGGTGGAAACAACATGTGATGAGTCTAATTCATGGGCAAACTGAGATTTAAAAACTAACACTTAAAAAAACGTTTTTTAATCCTTACCCGAGGATAAGTGTGTATTGACTTTAGAGAGAGAGAAAGGAGGGGAGAGAGAAACATCAATATGGGAGAAACATTGATTGGGTGCGCACCCCAAATGTGCCCTGACCAGGGATTGAACCAGCAACCTAAGTATGTGCCCTGACCAAGAATTGAACCTGCAGTCTTTTGGGGTACGGGGCAATGCTCCAACCAACTGCGCCACCTGGCCAGGACCAAAACTCTAACACCTTTTAGACAAACAGAACATCCACACGTTTATGTCTGTAGGGAACTAAAAACATAATACCGATAAAAAATAATTGAGAAATTAAAAAGATTAGTTGTAGCAATTATGCAAAAGAACCATAGAAAAGGCTGAGAATGAAGATGAATATATGTATGTCCTTTAAAGTATAAAATACCATCAAAGTGTACCCTTTTATTGGAAAGAGTCAATATATGGATAGTAGTTTAATGGTGTTCAATATACTATTGTTTACTTTGAATATGTCTAAATGTTTTTCATTATAAAGAGTTAAAAAATAAAATGGCAGAAATGTTACAATATGCAAATAAGCTGCTTAAGTAAAACCATCAAAGTACATCAAATAATTTGTACCAAGACACACACACGATGGCCCAGCAATGAGTACCTTGGCAATAGCAGTCTGTTTAAACATGCGAGTAATCAACCCCATAGCAGTCTCAGTGGCAACGGAATTTGGAGCTCTCATTAATTTTTCCCACTCTTCAAAGCTGGCATTCAATTCCTGTGTGGGAGAAAGCAACAGTGTTTAGGCATGAAGCATAAAGAACAGAACAATTAATGCAGTAATGAATCATGTCCTAACTTCTTTTATATATATAAAAATATACAAAGAAAATTCCCTAAGATGCCAGTGTGTTCATTTAAAGACATGGAGGCAACTTAGTCACGTGTTCACACCAATGGCAGAAACTAACGATAGGCTGTAGGTGAAGACCTTTGCTAACATCATAAACCAAACAATTGCAGCTTCCTCTCCAGGGAAAACATTTTGTAAAGTAAACATAAAAATTTAAATACATAAGAAAAAAGCGCAGTGAAGATGTATATGGTAGCAAAGTATTTTTATAAAAAGATATGATGTTACTTAAATAAAATCAAACAAAAGACTTGGGGGATATTAGTTAAATAAAAATATAATATAATCATACATTCTCTTATTTTTCTTTCAAATGCTAAAATAGTGGATAAAGGAAATTGGATTATTCTTATTTTTCCAATAACATATTGCTCAATGTTTATAGAATGCTTACTCTAAGATTTCAAAACAAAACAATGCAATGAATGATCTTTGTCAACAAAGTTATGCCAAGATTTGAAGAAATTTCAGAGAATATATAAGCATTGCACTACCAAAAATGTATATAAAGATTTGCTAAATACAATTTGGCTTTCTGACATGTTTAACTTCACATCTTACATGATCACAGAGTTTTAAGATTGCAAGAATAGGGCTGTATCTAAGTTATTTTAAAGGACAGCTACTTATACTTAAAAATAAAAAAATCCTAGAAGAAGAAACACAACTTCCCTTCCTTCACACCCTACAGAAACTCAGAATTCTTAATACTAAATCTTCGTTGTAATTGAATTACTTTTTTTCTATATTCAGCAGAAATAAACTTTTTAATCACTAGGATACTGAATCTTTTCACATTATATGACTAAAGTTAAATTCTTCCTGCTCGGTTCTCAAAATAATACAAAGCCAATACATATGCTCTATTAATTAAATCTATTTTAAGAAAGCAGACTTTTCCTCCTGTACAATATGAAATATGTACAACCTTTATTAGTATAGTTTAAAATGATTTAAAATAAGACTTTCAATCAAAAAGGGTTCTCACCTTGGCTGCTGCTGATGGAAGGTCAAAAGGAATACACTGTCTGATTTTAGGGGGCAGCTGGGTTAAAACGTCAGTCTTTAGCCTTCTAATCATTATGTCACTTAATAACTGATGAAGTTCATTAAGATTTGACGCCCCTCTACAATCCCACTGAGACCTTTTACCAAAATACCTGTTAATATGAAGAAAAGAACATGCAGTAAGAAAACAATTTATCCAATGTGTTCTTCCTTTAAATGATAGGAGCCATGGCACTGCTTTTACTGCTATTTTTTTTAATGCAAATTAGTTTCAAAAAGCTCAGCTTGAGAAATAGTAATGAGTAAGGTTACACATAACCTTCAGCTATAGGAAATACTAGTGTCTAAACGTACTGTTTACACTGAGTTCATGCCAGGCTGGGTGAACTGGTCACTCGGCTGACCACTGGCAATTCTGCATGGGTTCCCAGGGCAGGCAGTGAGTTTATCAGAGGTAGCCCAAACTAGGCATTCACTCCCAGTACCCCAGCCAGTCAGCAACAAAACCACCTGAAACATCTCCACACCCTAGGAGGTATTATCTGGCACCCACAGCAAAGGAAACAAAAAACAACAACAACACACTGTGAAAGAGAGAATGGGAGGATGCACTGTTTACTGGTAGAAGTCAGTGCAGACAGACACTGACTTGGTAAAGAAGGGAAGCTACAACTTAAAATGCTTGCAAAGGTAACTTTCCCCCTAGACCTCCATGAAAATCAGGAGTTGGATGCACCAAGGACTGTGGACAGGTGTTAAGGCAAGAGTTGAAATATAAATATTTAGATCTGGTGGATTTACTCAACTTAGGCATCAGGACAGCTGGCCTAAAAACATCCCTCTATCACTGTGACAACTCAAACATTTCCCCACAAAATTCCCGATCGTCTTCAAAGGGACCATACTATTAAAAATGAGCTGTTAGAGAATAATTAACAAAGGAAAAATTCTTGTTAGGCTGTATTATCATATCAATACATTATTAATATTTACATCATTACTAATATTAATAATTAAATAACTAATTTTAATAGGATTTTGGTGGTATTTTAGCACAAATTGGTGTCAATTTGAGAAAGTTAAAACTTGTAGACATAAATTTTGATAGCAAACATACTAGAGTAGTAAGACAACATTAAAGACATATACCGTACTTGCATGTAAAATCAATTAGAAAAGTACAGTGAATGAATGGAGCTACAGTATAATAAAATGAAAGACACCATTCAGTTGTCATCAATAAGAAATTTACTTGTTTAAAAAGAAACTGTTAGCATAAGAAAATTCAATCAGTTTATTTATAACTAGAGGCCCGGATTCATGCACAGGTGGGTTCCCTTGGCCTGGCCTGTGGCTCTCCAACATCCCCTGAGGGGTCCCGGATTGCGAGAGGGCACAGGCTTGGCTGAGGGACCCCACTGGTGCACCATTGGGGCTGTGGGACCGCGGGAGGCCTCCAGGGCATGTCTGACCCATCTCACCCAGTCCTGATCGGCTGGACCCCAGTAGCAAGGTAACCTACTGGTTGGGGCATCTGCCCCCTGGTGGTTAGTGTGCAGTCATAGCTACCGGTTGAATGGTCGAACGGTCGCTTAGGCTTTTATATATACAGATTGTTATAAATTAAATCATTGATACTTGTTCACTGAAATGTCTTTACTTTCTTTAATGCTTTATAGCCCCATTTTATATTAAAAATACACACACTAATGAAAATGAAAAAATATTGGCCAATACCCAATTCTGCCACCTAGTTTACTATTCACAATCATATACTTAGGTACATTTTGACTTCATGGTAAAAATCTGTAATGTTCAGAACTACCAATGATGGGAAAAGAGATTGGATTTGGTGGGGAGGGTGGTTGAGAATGAAATGTTTGCAATTAAAATGGATTCTTAAGCACACTCTCCATCTATGTGACACATTCCAAAGCTGTACAACATACTTGGCAAAGTCTTATGGCACAACTGTTCCACACGGGCACTGACAGCACACAGGTACCCTCTAACAGGCCACTATAGGCCTCACTTGCCTCCTGCAGGGCACCAAGAGCTGTGCTCCAGAAACAGGTAAGAAGTCAGAGCATCTAATCTCACAGGCCAGCCCCAGGCCTGGAAGGATGAGATCTCTTAGTGTTCATGTTTAAAATTTCCTTTGCTCTCAATCTCTTCACCCCTCTCGGTGGTACAGTAGCCAGTACAAACCATGGTTTCGACTCAGAAATCTTTTCTCCCACCCTCAGCCTCTTCTCTTTTAGCTTGAGTCAGACCACTAGAGGTGGCAGGATTCTACAGAGTGTTGGCAGCACCAAGTGCTGCTAACCGCCCCCGCAAATTTGGAGTGCAAAAGAGAACTAAGAGGGGAAGGGAGCTGGAAGAGGTGCCACCTATAAACACTGATCTCTTGCCATTCAATTTGATGCTTATTATATTATGGAATATCCTAATCTGTTTTATTTAACAGCTTTATTAAGATACTAGAGGCCCAGTGCACGAATTTGTGCACCGGTGAGTCCAGCTGGCCTGTTGACAGATATTTTGTCATGTAAAGCATATATTTGACCAAATACTAGTATGTGCTTTAAAAAATTTTGTCGTAGTTTGTGGCTTGTACATTCATTCTCTTAACAGTGTCTTTGGAAGAGACCTTTTCAGTTTTGAAGTAAAAGCACTTTCGTCTTTTATGGTTCATGTTTTTTTTGTACTCTATATAAAAACCTCTGCCTAACCCAAAGGTCACAAAGATTTTCTCCTTTATTTGCTTAAACATTTTTTATAGTTTTATGTTTTGTATTACAAGCCATATTTAATTGGTTTTTCAATTTTTGATGTATAGACATAAACGTAAAATTTACCATCTTAAGCATTTTAAGTGTATATCTCAGTAGTACTAAATACATTCATAAAGTTGTGCAACCATCACCACCATTCATCTCCATAACTCTTTTCACCTTTTAAACTGAAATGCCATACCCATTAAACAATAACTCCTCATTGTTCTATAGCCCCAGTCCTGGCAACTATCATTCTACTTTCTGTCTCTATAATTTTGAATACTCTAAGTACCTCATATAAATGGAAGCATACAGCATTTGTCTTTTGGAGACTGGCTTATTGCATTTAGTGTAATGTCCTTAAGGTTCATTCATGTTGCAGCATCTGCCAGAATTTCCTTCCTTTTTAAGGCTGAATAATATTCCATTGTATGTATAAACTACAATTTGCTTATCTATTTTATCTGTTTTGATGGACATTTAAGTTGCTTCCACAATTTAGTTATTGTAAATAATGCTGCTATGAACATAGGTGCACAAATATTTCTTCAAGTCTGTGTTTTTAATTCTTTTGGGTATGTACCCAGAATTGAAATTGCTGGATCATATCAGCCCACTGCCTTCTGAACTCCAAAGTTTCTGATAAGAGACTTGCTGCTAATCTTTTTAAGTGTCCCTTGTATGTGATGAGCTTTTTTCTTGCCCCTTTCAAGATTCTCTTTGTCTTTTGAAGATTTGACTTTAATATCTCAGTGTGGGTCACTTTGAGTTCATCTTAATTAGAGCTCACTGAGCTTCTTAGATGTTTTAAATACCTGAAAGCAGGTATCTGGGTTTGTTTGGCAGCCAGGCAGCTGAAGCGAACAGGAGGCTTGCTTGCTCCAGTGATGGAGGAAGCCAAGGTTCACTGCCTGCCGCTGCCGGCCTCTGAGCTGCACTCTAAGAAACAATGTTGCAATTATAGAAGCTAAACAAACCCAGAAACCTGCTTTCAGCCAGCCGGGCCTCAGAGCTGGAGCTGCAACAGTGTTTCAATTATAGAAGCCAAACAAACCTAGATAACTGCTTTTAGCAGCCGAGATCTCAGAGCTGGAGCCGAGCCTCAGAGCTAAAGCCAGCTCTCAGTTCCAGTGACAGCCATAAAAGGTAAAAAAA